TAAAAGCACATAATTTCTCACATTGTCCTCAATGCTTCGCAATATACTACTACAAAAAACAGCAAAATTGTTTTCAACCAGCAATTGTTTTTCCGCTCCGTGTTGCGAACTCAGATTTTCAGAGTTAACTTTCCGACATTCATAGCACTACGCTACACAATTGTCGTATGGGTCGAATTTGGTCAGAGGCATAAACTAGTGGTGTTACAGAATGGCACAGACTTTCCCATATTAGTTTTCTACTTCCTTTGGTCTCGGCTGGCTATTCGAACTTACCACATACTGTTGCCAGCTGCCATCTATCGCAGCTCAAAGTACTTTTTTTATTTCTTTATTTTTCGGTTTCCTGTTGGTAGAAAAGAGCTTGTATTTTCAGTATATTAAAGAACAGTAACACCTCGTCCTAAATGGGGAATTACTTTGAAAAATTTGGAGGCGTTTTTAAGAAAATGAAGTGTAAACGCTACTGTAAATTCGGAATTTGTCAGTGTTTTTTCAGAGAAAAGTTTTGATTTTTCGAAATAGTGTTTACAAATTGATGAAAATGTGCATATTAACGGCGTGAGAGACCTTTCAAAGAAATTACATTTGTGTAATATTTGAAAAAAAAAAAACAAAAAATAACCCAAAATGAAATTTACTTCATATTAAAAAGTGCAATTATCACTTTTCGTTCGAAAAGTTTAAACAAAAAAATTGGAGCCGTTTTTGAGAAATTGGCGTTTGAGCGTTTTTGAAAATGTGGAATTTGTGGCTAGATTTCATAGAAAACGGTTGTTTTCGAGAAACTTTATATGACATTATTTAAAGCCCATGTACACAAAAATAATAATGAGAAAAAATTACCGCTAATATAAATATTTACGTGCGAGACGAGTCAAAAAATACATGCTAGTATTTTTTCAAAACAACGAAAGAATAGAGCAAAACGTCGTTTATGTCATTTTATGGAGTGCATTTAGCACTATTACTACCAAAAGTTTAAAGTAAAAATTTGGATCCATTTTTGAGAAAATCTTGTTTTTGTTATATTTTAAAATTACACATATTGCACGCAATATTGCGGGAAAACGACCAAAATTTTCAAAAAAATATACATGACCTTAATGAAAAAACTAGCAATGGAGAACAAATTTTATGTAAAAGAGTAATCTCTGTCTCCAATTTTATCGCTGTCTGTCTTGAATTCAGACGCTGTCTGGAGGAGAATTCTAGAGACGGGCTGCTCTACTCGGCAGTTTTCCGTGGTTTCTCCGAACATTACCAGGCGAATGCCGGAGCAGTACCCTAACAAATGTGTCGCGGAGCTTGCGCAATCTTTCCTTCCTCTTCCTTGTCCTATCCTCACCCAATACGTACACACACTTACGTTACACTACAACATATGTCAAGAAACCGGTCGGGAGCTTAGAGCTTGTCCTGGCTGGGGAGATACCCCGCTTTTAATAGATACATGGTGGAGGAAAATCCTGCAATCCGGCGTCTTCCTACAACTACAAACTCTAAGATAGAGATTTTTCCTTTGTATAAAATTTGTTCTCCATAGTGTGTTCTTTCATTAAGGTCATTTAGTTTTTTTGAAAATTTTAGTAGTTTTCAAGAATATCGCGTGCAATATGTGTAATTTTAAAATACAACAGAAACAAGATTTTCTAAAAAACGGATCCAAATTTTTACTTTCAACTTTTGGTATGAATATTGCTAAATGCGGTACTTAACTAACTAAAACTTTCTTCAGCATTTAAGGGGACCCCATATGAAGCCCCCGGACATTTTCAAATTTTTCTCGAAAATGTCTACAAGTTTTTTCTTTGCATTTCTTGTAAAAATAAAGTATAATAAACGTAACGCGATATGTGCAATTTTAAAAAACAAAATTTTTTCGAAAACTGTTACAATTTTTTCTTTAATTTTTTTGGTATGGAATAGTGCGAAATATACTCTATCAGATGATATAAACATCAATTTGCCCTATTCTGTTTTCTGATTCAATTTTCAAAATTACAAATTTTTTTTTTTTTTTGAATTGTCTCTCACGTTAATATTTAGTTTGTTCACAATATGTTCACAATGAGTACATGTGCTTTAAATAATGTCATATAAAGTTTCTCGAGAACTCAAGAACTTTCTGTTTAAATGAGCTCAAAATCACGCATTTTCATAAACGCTCAAACGCCGTTTTCTTAAAAATTGCTTCACGGTTTTCTTCAAACTTTTCAATAGTGCTTATAGTGTGTGTTTTCTTTGCAATGACCTAATATATGTTGCTGTTTTACGATGAGAAAATTCAGTTCTCAGGGTGAGAAGACCGGAAAACGGGGTGGGGATGTCTAAGTGCTAATCACATTTATCCCCTTAACCCATGGCCGTGAGGAACGTCACCGGTAGGCGAGCCCTGAGCCCGTCCATGGGCTGTCGCGCCAAGTACATATATACATATTTTTAAAATTATTTCTCATGCCGGTAATATACACAATTCTAGTGATTTGTAAACGCTATTGGATTTGTGAGTTAATGTACCTCAAATTACTTTTCATTAAGTTTTTCAAAAACTCAAAATTTGTCTGTAAAAAAGAGTTTTCAATTTCACATTTACAGTAACACTTAAACGCAATTTTTTTTTTAAAAAAGGCTCCACATTTTTTAATGAAAATAGTCATTTATGAAGAGGTTTTACTCTTTTTTAATATTCTCAAAGTAATATTTCGGTTATACTAATAGAAAACTCAAAATTGAGATTAAAAAAAAATTACTATGGGCGACGATAGATGGCAACTGGTAAGTGGATGGGGCAAGACCGTAAAGCCAGTCCACTCCAAGAAAATACGAAAATTTTACTACGAGAAAGTTTGTTCCATTCTGTACCACTATTAGTTACTTTCTCGTATACGTACTATACGTAAGTAGTACTAACGATAGTAATATACGTAGTATAGAGAAAGTTATGTAATGCTGCGGACAATATATTTCGAGGTTTCAAGGAAATACACGTTTTGGAGTTCCCTGACACTTTTCTTTTTCTTCAAAACTTGCGTCCGCCCGCCTGTTCATCTGTCCGTACGATTTTTTCCAAAATGGATATTCCCCTGTCGATCAGGCTCGGCTCGAGAGTCTGCGATTTTCAAAAACTTTCTTTAAAATTTGAGTGTACCTTACATGAAGCCCGTGGGATATTTTCAAAATTTTCTCAAAAATGGCACCAATTTTTTTAAAACATTTTGTGAAAGAATAGAGTAAAATACTTTTATAAATATATCATAGGTCCGATTTTTACTGTTTACCCTGCATTGAAAATTACAAAATTTTGAATTTTTTCGGCGTCTTCTTACAACTACAAAATAGAGATTATTTCCTTTAAATGAAATACGTTGTCTATATTCAGTTTTTTCAGGAAGGTCATGTACATTTTTTAGTAGTTTTCGCACAGTATTGCGTGCAATATGTACAATATTAAAAAGTAACAAAAACAAGATTTTCTCGAAAACGGCTATAAATATTTTCTTTAAACTTCTGGTAATGATAGTGATAAATGTACTCTGTAAGATGACATAAACTTCATAACTGCATTCTTTTGTTTTTTCAAGAATACAAAAAAAAAACCTTGTCTCAACGGTTATAAGCGGCTATTTGTTTACATTATTGTATTTATGAGTTAATGTACTTTAAATAATGCCACATAAAGTTTTCCCGAAAACTGAACACTTATCTGTGAAAATGAGCACAATCTTCCGCATTTTCAGAATCTCTCAAATGCCAATTTTCTCAAAAATAGCTCAAAATTTCTCCTAAGTATAGTTCTAATTGCACTGTTTAATATGACAAAATTCATTTTGGTGTATTCTTTCTTTTTTTAAAAAAATAGACAAGTACAATTGTTTCTGTTATATATCTCACGTCTTTAGAATGCATATTTCCCGCAATTGGCATACATTATTGCGTATTATTTCTGGGTTAAAGTGCTCCAAAAGAAGCTTTTTGAAAACTCAAAATTTTTCTGTAAAAAAGAGCTTCAAATTTAGCATTTACAGTTGTGCTTAAACGCCATTTTCTTAGAAACGGTCCACATTTTGCTGTGAAAATTGCTTTATATGTCGAGGTTTTACTCTTCTTTAATCTTTTACTCTTCTAAAGTAATATATCGGTTCTACCTTTAGGACACCGAAAAATTGAGAAAATATAAAAATAAACTGTAGTTTGGGTGGCGAAAGTTGGCAACTGGCAAGAATATGTGGCAAGTCCTAAAAGTTACACCTGACTAGGGAGATTAGAAAACTAATTAGTACAAGAGTCCATGTCATTATGTAGCACCACAAATGTAGTTACTTTTCTTTGAGAGAACAAATCAAAGTAATCTGCCAAGCGCGAAAACACGCAAGAGGGGCTGAAACCACTTTCAGTTAACCACTGTCCATTCTATTCTTCGTTGCGTTTCTAAAAAAACTCTCACTGCAATTTCAGCAGTATGGATCAACCTTAAATAATTATTCGGTTGACATGTCATTTGTGACAGATGTTTTGAATGCGAGATACTAAAAAAATTGAAAAGGAATCCAATCGGGGGACGAGGATTTTCCCAAAACGAGGGCCCAAAACTTCGGGTGCCCCAGTAACATGCGCTGGTGCATCGGTTGCACCAAGAGGAGTATTAAAAGTACTAGTAAAGATAATAGTAATAATTACATCTTATCCATTACCACCTTCTCTCTTACTCTCTCTCTTGATCGGGGCTTGTACCATTGTGCGGCCGTGCAGGCCAATAATCACTCATGATTGTGGATGTGTTAAGACAATTATTCCTCTCCTAACTTTCCCGGAATATAAGCCACGAGCCGCCACTGCTTTTCATTTTCTCATGATTGCTCGAAAATATTCATTCATTTTGAATATCAACCCTGCTGTGATAATTGAGTTGTCATTCGTTGAATTTTATTGTAATTTGTTGTGAGGCAAGAAGTAACTTTTGGCAAAGAGTGTCCGCAGAGCTGTCAAATAGCTATTCCGTGACCATTGGCAACTCGTGTACCAACTATAGCTATTGACGGAATATCTATTTTCTTTCTTATAGTGCAGTATGAGGAAGGGAATGCGTGTGAATTTGAGTAATACTGTGTGTTATATGCGAGTTACACATTGAACGAATTTGCAGGAAAGAGTCTGAGGTATTACACTTTTACAGTAGAATATAAACAGTTGATGCACTGTTGTCATTTGTGTTTTCAAGACGTATGAAGTGGAATTAGGTGAGGTTTGTATGCTCATGAGTGCTTTCTTTTAAATTGCTGAGTGTTATTTATTATCGTTCTTGTAGTTTGTTGTCTTCTAGTAGAAGCGTTAGGAATAAGTAATGAAATATGGATTAAAAATAATATAAATGTTTCACACTGCAGTGACTGACAGCGGAATTGGTGTGATTGATAAATTTCGTGTGATTGGTCCTATTTCATTGTTCTTGGACCTTCGGATTTTTTATTATATTTGGGACAGTTTTCGCAAGATAATGGGGGAGGAAAGGAGCACTCTTCACGACCGATTTGACACAGGTACGTTAGTTATACATATACAAAATGTACTCCAAATTCTTACATTGTTATTGAAAAATTGTATGTAATCTTGTAGGAGTTAACCAAGATGAACTCATCTTACAACAACAGAGGCAAATAGAAAAAGAGGTAAGAGCATAACAGCACTGAATTATTGCTTTTTGTGTGCATACAAAAAATTGTCCCAGTTATGGTATTTCTAAATTGGTGAGGTTCACTTAAATTAGATTCCTGGTGAACTATTCATTTTATTATTCAGCTGAGTTCAGTTAGACTTTCTATTTTATCTCAAGTTAATTATAATAAGTAGTTTTGGAGTTACACCAAAACAAAAGAAAATGACTTCTGTGTATTTGTCAGGCTGTAGAGAAGTACATTGTAGCTGCTAAATGCTTTGTTTTTAATAGTTTCAAAAGAATGTTAAAGCTTGATATAGCAGCTGCAAGTACTCTATGATATATTTTTAATGCTTGAAAGATTTTATCTTTTCAACTTTGTTTTCAGGAAACGTTTACATGTAATTTTGTTCTCTTCATGTACACTCCCAAATGGCTATTATATACCTATGGTACCTGATGGCAACAATGTCACTTACTTGTATTGAATGTTTTCCAATATTTCCTTCTCTTTTTGGCTCCTTTCATTAATTTTTATGAATATTGTTACATTCCAAACTACTTTTATAACCCCAAAACAGGAAAAATTGAGACTTTACAATTACTTTTAAAGAATAATGTTGTCCAGAAATTGAGTTTTAGAAAATCCAGTTTAATATCTTCAAAAAAACATGGTAGATTTTTAATAAAACTTGCAACGTGATATTATGTATTGTTGATTAGTGAGAAGTAATTCAAGCTATGGAAAAAATTAAATTGCGTTCTTCTTCCATTAAATTCTGGAAAAGTATCAATATAATGATAGTTAAGTGGGTAGAACGTAACGTGTAATGAAAAAAAAAAATTGTTATGAGTGACGACCATTATATTATTTTATTCTTGTTTATACCGACAGCTGGTCAACATACGTGACTCAAAATTTTTTATTGTGGAATTGGAATAGTTAATTGGAAGTTTTAGTAGGTCTATTTTTGAACCAAAGACAAATGGGGAAAGATTAATACTTATAATTGATAAATGATCATTCTCTCAAGGTTTTAATACAATACAAAGTGAAACTAGTGGGAAAGCACGGCATTTGAAAACTTTTCCTCCTGTTAGTGTTATTACTCAACTATTTTTTTCACATAAATTAAGAGATTGACATCGTTTAAAGATCTTCAATTGAACAAAATTAAGCAGAAAGCATCAAAGGCACAAGAATCAGTATGATTGAAAAAAAGCTTAGAGAGTTGGGCAACAAGGATGCACGCTTAAAATTGGATGGATTAAAACTGGATGTTGCATTGAAAATACGCCTCAACTATACTTCAACAATAATCTTTGTATTTAAAAACATTCTTTAAATATAAGAAAACTCATTATATTAGCTTCTCTAACAAGCACATTACACTCGCATGTTTTCTTGGTGAGGAAACTTCAAATGCTTTCAACAGATCGATCGCAACACACACAATAAAATAATGAAAAAGTGATGACTGATAAGAGTTAGTTCTATTAATTTTTTGATATTATTAAAATTTAGTATTTATATTATAAAACTGTTTATTAATAGCAAGTGATAAAACATCTGAGGTCATTTAAAGCAAAAATCGTCAACATCTTTCTAAAAACAAAACCCTCAGTATTTAAAATATAAAGAATTTTGCAAATTTGTAATTGTCTCAAATTGAGCTGAAAATTGGAACTTTGAAAATCAGAAGCATACTTATAAATGCAAGTTCTTCTATTGAGCAAAAAAATTCAAGAAAAAAGATTGTCATTTTCCAGAAAATGTTGAACATTTCGTAGGGGCATCATGTGCAGTTTCCCCCAAAATTAAAATATCTTAATGATTTCTGAAACAACTCAACTAGATCTTACTCCTGATGTATTAACTGTGGTTCAGCTCAAAAGCGTCTAATCTAAGAGGTTTATGAGAGAGCTTTCTATCTAACAGAGACCTATCTATCTAAATATACAAATCGATACAATGCTATCTATCCAAATATACAAAAAATCAATCTACTACTATAATACTATCTATCCAAATATACATAATTGCATGTATCTCCTGCCCATCTGCACCAGTCTTAACCATTTTTGAAATAGCATTAATAGACCTTAATCCTGATGTGAGTGCAAAATTACAGCTGTAAAGAACTTAAAACACAGATTTAATGATATTTGAGATCATTTTTATACAGTGATTTCAATACTTTTTCTACCTATCCTCTTCCAACTCCAATACCTCCCTTCCTATACTATGCCTCCCCAGAGAGATGCAAAGTAAAAAGTGTTACATGAATGGAAGGAATTTATGCATTTTACGTAGTAGGAAGTATGGTATATAACAGTAGCTGGAAGCTTCATTCATAGTTGGGTTATGAGAGAAAGTTGTCAGAATAAGCTGATATTAATAGCCACAGGAACCCTATAATCAACTAACATCATAGCTTCAAAGATTTTTTTAAAAAAGTATAGTTTCGCAACTTCTTTTCAGGGAACACTTTTCCTCATTATACACTCTTCATATCAACTCCAAAATAGCTTGTGTATAGCAAGAACAGATACCGAAAATTACATTTATGTACATTGAAATGTTTTCAATATCTATCTGATTTTGTGTCTAATTTCAGTAATTTTTATTAATTTCACTTCAAATCCAGTAGTAACTTCCTTTCTAGTTACCTAGAAAATATAAGAAAGAATAAACCCATTGTTGTTGAATCCGGCAGATTGCTTTTGATTCCTAGTTTGGCAAAATCTGAAAACCTATTTAATTCATGAGAATATTTCTCATATTCATGAGAAAACAAGCAAGAACATATTCAGTATTTATGGATTTAATTTTATATATGTAGTCACTATGCTCTAGATTTTTATGTAAATGAAACAAAGCAGGTTGTAAAAGGGTGGGGGAAAAAATAGGAAGTTTTGGAATGTAGAACATCCAAAATTAACATTTCGGTTAAAATCTCTAGAAATCTTAATCAATTGACCATTATAAAACTAATACATTTGTTTTGATGTATTGGAAGCATTGTTTGAATGTCTAGCCAGGTGGTCTAGTGTGTAAGTTTGTTACAAATGTGGATTGGAAACTTTTGCAGGTTGAACTACGATCAGTAACAGTCTTATATGATGTAATTGTTACAAATAATGCTAGTAAGTATGTATTGTAGTTGCATCACAAGTTGAATTTTCCATATTGCTCTGAAGTGTTTTTGAATCACACATTTTGCATTTTTATTGATTTTAGATGATTGAAAATAGTAGTGGGTTATTTTCAGAGCATTTAAGTTCATGAAGGTGGTGAAGGTTCATGGTGTTAAATGGACAAAAATTACTTGATAATTTTTCATTTGTGTTATCACCTAAAATATCTGTTTAAATGTAAAAAAAACTTGCAGTGTCCGTTAAGACTTTGCAAACAAAGTTTTTCATCATAGATATACCAATGAAGAAATAGTTCTTTTTATTAGAGAACTTATTCAATTGTCATTCATATGATTAGATTGAATATTGTGTTGGAATTATACACCAATGAATTATTGTGATGGAATTATACACCTTAGAAATACTATAGGGTGTCTGCCAGTGTGTGTGCATTTTAAATTTATTAATTTATTTTACAAAAATATTGTGACTTACCAATAATGGTTAATATTTTTAAATATATTGATATAAATATACATTTTATTTATTTATTGCTTCAATTCCTATGTAGTAATTATTTTCCAGTATGTAATGAAAATCAGATTTCAGAGAAAACCCCATTGGTTGGGGATATGGAAAATTTTTCATCGCTGGAAAAAGAATATGCAGGCGATGCAGTGTATTGTCAAAAAGTACAAGATCTTTCTGCAAAATACAAAAGCATGCGTCGAACACGACCTGATGGGAACTGCTTCTTTCGTGCTTTTAGTTACGCATATTTGGAGCAACTTCTAAATAACCCAGAAGAATACGAGAGGTAATTTTTCTTTGTCTACCAATTGAATTTTAATTAATTTAGAGAATGCTCTAAAATTTTGCTGTGTTTCAGATTTTATTCTCTAGCATCGAAAAGTAAAGACAATCTAGTAGCTCTGGGTTTTCCTCAGTTTACCGTTGAAGATTTCCATGATACTGTATGTAATGTTGTAGTGTGTAAATGCAAATTTTCTTCTTCTAATCGTTTGTAATTTGCCATCTTAACTTTTATTTTCTTTGCAGTTTATGGAGGTTGTTAGTCGAGTGGGCAAGGGTGGAGGCACTTTCACACAGACTGATTTGCACAAATTATTTAATGAACAAGGTTATTCTGATTATATAGTTGTATATTTGCGACTCATTACTTCTGGCCGGCTTCAACAAGAAGCAGAATTTTACCAGCATTTTATTGAAGGCAATCGTTCAGTAACGGATTTTTGTCATCAGGTAAAATTGAGTGATATCTTTTAAATATTTTGTAGTAATGTCAGTTATGTGTATTATGGGATATAATGTCTCTGGTTGTTAGAAACTTATTCGTTTTAATCTAGACAAGAATTATCCAGTCTTGAAAAGTCAGTATTTCAGTCTTTTGAAACTACTGTTCCTCGCAAAGTTATTAATTAATAGGGAGTGGATTTTTATGATTTTGTATATTTTTGTCCATTGCTTCAGAGAATAGCTAAATGGAATTTCTTGTCATTTGGTTAGAATTTGATGCTATACAGTTTTATATGTTAGTGCATATTTGTGTGTATTTGGCAGATTTTTCCTAGTGGTGCATATTCGTGAAATTTTAGGTGCATATTTTGCATATTTCCTTTAAGAAGAGAATTATCTCTAAAACATTTCATCTTTTGTTAGAATCCATTTATTTGTGAGCATTCATTAATAAGAAGAAAGAGCTTTTCTCACTTTGCGTTTTTTTCTAGTCTTTTTCTTTCCTTTTATACAGTGGAGAAAATGTTAGTGCCAATGTAGGATATTTCTTGATATTATATTTTTAAACCAGAAATTAAATAAGAGATACAATGTACTTCAATAAGGTGAATTATTACTTAATTCACTAGGTTCAATTATATCTCCCGTGAAGTGAGATAAGTTACATTATGTTTGCACAAAAGTATATATTTTCTTTCCAAGTATGTTTCTCATATTTTATGAAGAAATGTTTATATAGGATATGAAATATCCCTAATTTAAATTGCATTTTAAAGTTCGTATTTCAGAATTTTTAGGTCATAAATGCATATGTTTAAAAGCATATTTCAAGATTCTTAAGTGCATAAAAATCCTCTCCCTATTACTTAAGTATATAACAACAATATTTGAATACTTTCAATTACGTTTGTAATACATTTAATATATGTTGATGAAGATATTTATTTCAACTATAAATTTGAAATTTATTTTTGAGAGGTATTCAATAAATACACTTAATGTCTAATGTTTTTTACAGGAAGTAGAACCTATGTATAAAGAAAGTGACCACATCCACATAATAGCATTGAGTACTGCCTTAAATGTTGGGGTGCGAGTGCGCTACATGGACAGAGGGGAATCTTCTGAAGTTATTGCTCATGACTTCCCAGAAGGCACTCGCCCATCTGTTCATCTTCTCTACAGACCTGGGCACTATGATATCCTCTATCCATGATGAATAATATGTACTCAAAGAATTCCACAATACTTCTTGTACCGAAATATTTCATTTACAGAACTGAGTATTTTATTTTCTTCTGTCAGATAGTAGTTGTGCATTTGTAGTTCTTGATGATCTCAACGTGAATTCTAATATACTTAAAATTTGATGGAGTATTTGCAATTATCACATAACATTGTTTTAGATGAATTAAGTGGAGTGTCTCCAATATATTATTCAGATTTTGTTAGGAATACGTACAAGAGAGTGAGAGAAGGTGAGAAAAGTTGTACGACCTTTGTTTTGTGCAGTTGCTTGTGTGGAGGGAAAGCTTTGCTTTGTCTCATTGTATCTTCAAAAAGTCTTCATGTGATCACAAGTGTAACATATCTGCATTAGGAAATTTGAAAATCTGTTGGTATGTCTCATCAGTTAGAGCATTTGATGGCAAAATTGAAAAATGTCAAATTTTCTGTCATTGAAAGAATGTCTTGTTCAAACTTTGTATGACAAACCCTGGTCAAAAAATGTTTAACCTTCTTGTCTTGCCAAAATGTTATAGATGGTTAAACTTTTGATGACCTTAAACCTTGTACAGTGATGAAATTTCACTTCTTGTGTAGCAGATAATCAAAATATAGGCAAATTCACAATAACAAAATAAGGCAAATTCAATTCAATTCAATATAAATGTGCATTCAGATCTGATTTGCTGAAGATTGTTTTAATTAGCTAAATCTGACATGGATGACTATTGTGATGATCATAGTGAGAAAATTAATTAGAAATCTTAAACACTTTCTCATCACTCTCTACATCACATTGTTAATTTCTGAACATTATATTGGGGACACCTTTCAAAAACATTTTGAAATCTTCAGGTTATTGTAACGTGATTTCTAATTTTATACTGTTAGTGGTGAGAACTGTTTTTGATGACTTCATTGGTATGGTACAAAATTTAGCTGAGCAATTTTACAATTGAGATTTGTAGTGATTTGCGGAGTATCTGGAGCACTTCCTGATGCACAGGTATCACACATTTGACAGGCAACTTTTGTTTTATTTCCCAAATTTTTTCAGAGTTAATTTATTAGGATTAACGTTTATACATGCTACTGATCTCTTTTTCATTTGTGCCCTTAGTGCTGTGAAATTGATACACTTTTGCCTGATTGTATCACAGTTGATATTCCATTGGGCATGATTAATAAATTTGAATATGTAAATTTATGAGATGAAATTGTGTGTTTTTGTTTGTAGAGGAAATAGTTTGTTAATTTTCTTCCAAAATGATACTTTTCTCTTTAAATTCTCTTGGTTTTATGTGTATATGCCTGTTCTTATCTATTGTATTCACATCATTTATGAAGAATGTATAAGATTGATAATGCTGTATACTAATAGCAATCTTGTTTAATGACTGTAATGTTTAGTTTACATTAATTTTTTAGATCATAAAAAGCTTTGGGAATGTAAAGGAACTTGTTGCTATCGTCAGTCATTCAGAAAGTCAACCAGTGTGCCTTCTAGTTTGTACAGAGGCACTCACAGGATCTTGCTCAATTTTTTTGATGAAATAGGTTATGTGGATATTTCTTGAAAATTATTTTGGACAATGTAGAATTAAGTAAGGATCAACTCTAAGAGATTGAGTTTCATGTACTATCAGTACATTCTTGAGACTGCAAGAACTGTGATGGTCCTGTCAGACTTTTGTATTATAGTCATACATGATTGACATGTTACTTCCTCTGGTAAGAGTGGTTCTGTTTTTTTATTCAGACAGTATGCAACTCTCAGGATGTTTCAAACCCTGCACATATTCTTTCCAGAATATATGAATTTCTTTGGTCATTTTTTCAGGTCCTTGACCTTATGGATTTTGTTTTGCAAGTGTTTCTTATGTAAACATAGTTCTCTCATACTTTGTTTTTGTTCTTTTAATTTTGTGTTATGAATACTAATTTCTCATTTATTGTATTATATACAGGGTATGATTGTGTTGTTACTTGGGACTTCAGATCTGAACAGTCAAATTGTTTTAGCTATCCTTTTGTCACCATTTGTTATATCAAGTATTTTCATAAACATACTATTATTGAGGAAACATTGTTTAATTGATGAGCTGTAAATCATATGTTCAGTGATAATTAGTGATAAATATGATAATTCAATGTAATTTCCATCATTCTGCTTTGATGAAAAAACAATGTTTATTTTGCCCATAGGTATCACTAATTACTAATGGGTAACATATATTTCATTTCTGAAATGCTTGTTGAAATGATTTATTAGAATTAACATTTAACTATTTTAGTGAAGAAGGTTTATAAAGTAATTGAAATCTTGTCCACAGGACATAAGGGTACCAAAATTGTCAAACATCAAACTATTCCAAAATGACTTAAGCTTTATCACTCTATAAAAACAGTGTGGTGCTTTCAAGTGCATCTACTTCATGACTTCATCTGCTATGACACTTGTGAATGGAGTGTGTTGTATTATCTCTACATATTGAATGTAAAACAAAGCCAATTGCAGACATAGTGATTGTAAGATTTGAATGGATGAGCTTATGAAACAGTGACTGGTGAAGCATTAAGTATTTCCTACACTTAATGAGTTTTGAGATATAAAAGGGAACTTTTTCTATGTTGACTCCACTATTATCTTCCTGGATATTCAACAGAAGTTAGGATCTGCATGTTGAAACTGTGAAAGCCGAATCAATGAAGTAATATTGTGCAGACCTCGTGCTCCAAATATGGAGGAAACTGTGAAAGTTGTCCCGTGTGATATACTAGTCTGTACCGTGACAGGATGCAAGAAAAAGTAGCAGATTCGGTGCTGTTTGTGTTCATGGTTTCTTTTGTGATTGTAATAGATAGTGTGAAATAAAAAATGCAGTTAGCATCACTACTGATTAATACAGTCTTATCTGCATTAATTTAGTTATCTAGAGATGATTAAAAACATTTTTTAATATTTTTAGCAGCTGTAAATTATGAAGCCGTAAAGGGTTCATTCCTTAATTAGTAATTAATTGTTAAATAAGTCAGATCCTCCTAGTTCCTACAGAATCACAACTGTGTAAATAAAGGATGACAAAATTACTATTCTTAATTGCTTTCTTTACCTATGGTGACATTCATTCTACAATATTACTAAACAAAAATATTCAATTTGTGATTGTAAATAGTTTGTGATTGAACTTCTATTGTGTGTGTTGTTCATATCAGAGTTGCAATTAAATATCTGATATTAACAAAGTGCCTGTCTTGGTTTATAATTGGTCGCTAAATTTTGGAATTGTTATCAGTTTTACTATGCATCTACATCTTTTTGTTTATTTATTTTTGTTTTAAATAAAATTGCAGAAATTTTCTGGAAAAACTATGTGCCTAATTTGAGACATCTTAAATACATAACATAAATAAGCAAAGGTCTCAAGTAGAGAATTCTGATATGGATGTGAATGAAATGCAATACTTTTTATTCCTTGGTTGAATGAATCTCTGTCAGCTTTAGAAATCTCAGTCGTGATACTTGTTAGCGTTAAGTGATATTACTCATGCTTCTTTTCTTGAATGATGGATTGAAGAAATGCGAGTAGAGTGGGGGTATTAATTACGTAATCAGCAACTTGATTTTATGAAGCAATGCCAATCTCTAGAGAATCAGCCATGCCTTCGCAACTTTCTCAATATTTTGCATTCTAACTTTCTCAGGAGTTTGAGGTATCTCCTGTGATGGATCTTCATCTGTTTTGGTCATTTCTTTAAGAATTTTTTGGTGAAAATCACGGACAGAAGTTCTTGTCTTCAGCAGAAAATAGTTTCTATTTCACGCCAGTGAAGATGTGTTTGGAATATTATCATCAGTGCTCGCTGAGAGCTTTCGCCTTCAACTGTTTGTTGTGCCAGAGGGAGGAAAGCAAGGTCATTGTTCAAGAAAAGTTGTGCTAGTAATAACTGATTTATGTACACATACAAAATAATTCAAAATTCCCCTGTAACTTGTTAAAAGCCTGGACAAGAGACAAGTGCTTCAGTTTTTGTTCTTGTATTTAAAGGAAGAGAATAACATTTATTTTACTGTCAAGGTTGATTGGATTACATGAATTATCCTTAACGAAAAGATGCTTATTGAAGAGTGGCCAACAAACTGTTTTATTTAAATTTTTAAATTTTGAATATCATGAAATGGTAAGGAAAGATAAAATTTTACAATTTTTAGGCCTCTCAGCAACTTGCTTTTTTCACTTTATTGGACTATTTATGTACTGCCTTTACTTTTCTCACTTTTTTCTGAATACTCACTATTTTCACATTTTTACATAATTGAATTTTTAATTTAATTTGTATATGTAATCTTGTAAGCATAGCAAGCATTCTTTGAAGACTAAGATAGAAACATTGAGAAAAAAGTCAACCCAGTGGAATACTTACATTGAAACTATAACATTCAGAATGACTGGTCAAACGAATAGGCTTGTGAGCTCTGAGATGGAGAAAGGGAGTAAAGACGGGCGTGGGCGGGACCTTCGCTAGAAGAAGCGTGCACACACTGACGGGGGAAGTTTTAGAAGGAGTATTATGCACCACCTGAACTTGTAATGCTGCATTATTATTGTCACAGTAAAAGATGTCATCAGCTCAAAGTTAGTCATTGAGCTCAACAGTTTATTTTTAGATTCAATGATTATTTAGATAAATACATTCACAGTTCCTTTTACAATTATTCAGTGAGGCATGTTAGGATAACATAATTGGCATTTGAAATTTGAAGATTGCTGAGTTGAATGTTAGATGAGTTTTGGGTTTAATCTACCCAGGTATGAAGTTCCTTGACTTCGATGATGCAAAAAGTAAACATTTTGTGTTTTCTACGAGATGACTGTTTGTCCCTATTTTATTAATTTGGAATACTACTCTTAATTTCAGAAATTAAGTGAAATTAACAATGTTTTAATTGATAAATCACTATGATGTCTTTGTATTTGTCAAGTACCTTGCGTTACCCTGATATTTATTTATAACAATTGACTATTAGACAAGAAAAGGAATGAATTCTCTCTTTAGTGTATCTTCGCCCTGGCCTTGCTTACGCCATATTGACAATATCCACCCATCGAGTCCCACCTCCTTCTCTCGCCAAACTTGATCATGGCCTTGATATATCAATTTTTATTAATAACTACTGGACCCAGCAATGCTTTGCTATTGCAGTGTATTACGTATTTCATTACCAGTCACGTGATAGGTTATCACATTTTATGCTACGCAGTACAAAAATTCGAAAACCTGAAAGAGCAAGTATGAGTTTGGACATTGTTGTCAGGTCTCTTATTATTCAAACGTTCTCCCTCAAACTTGGGCATGTATTCGCTATGACACTACTTTGGAGAAATTTGATTTACTTGTCTGTGATTCGAGTAATAATTCTGGCTGATATTTCACAATTGCACGGGCAGAATACTTGTATGCACTGAAAATGTGCTTGATCCTTGACAGTGTGGCGAGCTGTGTAGAGTTCAGAGGCGCCTGAATCAGCATAAATGAATAAATAATAAACACTGCCACTACTTATCCGATTTAATTCAAACCAATCTTTAAACACTCCCCCTACTAATAGGAACAAAGTTTGAAAATTTCAGTGAAATCAGTTGAGTAGTTTTTGCGTTTGTGTCGCACATAGACACACGTTTCCTTTTATTTTGTATGTAGATAAATAAAATACTTTTTGTAAAGTTTGAAGTAACCTGGGGTATCGTGGGTAGGTTTCAATGCCTAACTTGACCTAGTGCAAATAATTAAATTTCAGAAAGCAAACGGAGATACATGGATTTGAAATTGGCCCCCTATATGGAAATTTAATATTCTTATGTTTTTTAATAAAACTTTATAATTTTGATTCACTTATCTTTTGGGATGGATGTTAACAAAATGCTAAAAACCATTGTTACAGAAGCTTTATGTTCTTCGGTAATTAGAAGAGCTACGATTTGTATGTATTCAACTTTTGTCATTTATTTACTAATTAAGCTTTTTGAAAATAATTGTAACCTATTTGATTATCTGTATTTTCTGTTGTACATAGTTTCACATAAGGAAAACTCTCTTTGAATATTTCAATATTTTAATTGCAGTGTGTTCCATATTATAGTCTTCGAACACTTTTACTTTTAGTGCAATTCATTGTGATGAATCTGGTTTAGTAAATTTGTATTTAACTCCATAATGTATTGCAAGGATCAAGGGAGTGTCTGTTAATACTTCTGATGTTGATCAGTTATATTCAAGCAATATTAAGAGATAAAAAGAAAAGTTTCACATTTGAACATTTAAAACTGGGCTTTGTCTCCTAGAGCTTTCGAAATGGTACTAATTAGTAAGTGGTAAACATCATTATATGATTAAGAAATATACTTTCAGTACCACAATAATGTTCTGTCCATTTTAATACGCTCTTAAATCTACCATTAGTACTAAATCTTGAGTTGTGTGATCATTCTATTTATGTAACTTAAACATTTGATTAATATATTATTTTTTATTTTAATATTTTTACTCAATTTTCAGTCTATGTGTATGTACATATTTAGGCATACAAGATTCCGTATCAATCCCAACCCTTGTACTAAGTTCTACTACTTCAAAAATACATACATTTTCCCTTACTATCTGTGGACCAAAAATTTCACTATTTGACTAATCTTAGCTTCAGCTAAAGCTGAGAGACCTGAATTTTGGGTAAACATTTTATAATGATATTGTTATTTGACAGCTTTGAACTCGTTTGTAAAAGTGACATACAAAGAAATGAAAAATACCAACTTTTTGTAACAGCGAGTACATTGGCTAAATAGTACAAAAAAATCAAATTAAGTGAATTTGTTTTAAACTAAGTAGGAAGATTGTTAGGAATAGTTTTGCAAACAGTTGAAATTTTGACAGGTCATAGGAGACAGGGATTTTCAGTCTGTGACATCGATGAGAATACAATGGAATTTCAGTCATAATTTCGTGTTCTTAGCACTTGATAAGACAGCCAAGATTTTCCATCATAAGTATACTGTGTGAAGAGAATCGGTTCGGTTTTTGATTAAGTCCTAGCATATACACCCATAGGTATGTATTTTTCCCATTTTAGAAGTTCTTAACATCATTAATTATTGAATGATATAAGAATGATTTATCCTTGTATGGTAGACTACTTATACATTTTCCCTCAATGTTTTCACTCTTTAATGAAAAAGTTGTGGGGAAACTCTTGCCTATGAATTTTGGGTGAATTTCTCACACTCTTGAGTAAATGATTCCCTGATCCATGTACTGCACTCTGACAGTTGAGAATCACTGAAGTAGATATAAAGAGACATTTTTAGAAGATTAGATAAAATTGTCGGTAGTGTTTAGGAGTATGGTTTTCAGGAGGGAAACACTACTATTTTGTTCATATTTTAATGTTCTTTGTTTAATTTAAGAATTTTATTACATATTTGATGAACTTTGCTAAAAATTGTGGAAATGCATATGGGAATTATTTATTATAATATAACTTTTGGAATATACTATATCATTGCAAATGGCAGGATAGATTTGTGTACTAAACACAGAAAGAGAGCTGATGGTTGTTTTGTAGTGTATACAAGCCTGGATACCCCCTTGTAAGTGTGATATGGAGGGAAATTAAACTAGGGAATTATTGTTTATTTATTGAATCATTATGTCAATCTGTGAATTGAAGTTCATAGCAACTAACACTATTAATGAAGAAGGAACACTACAGGATTTATGACTTTGCATTTCAAATTATAATGTGATCTCAAAATATGATTTTTTGGTATGAAATGAGTCGAAATTCTTGATAAATATAATAAGAAATTTTCCTGAAGTAAATTTGTATTCAGAATGTATCTCTGAAGTTACTAGGGAATTTTGAAATTTTTTTTTTCTTAATCTACTGAGAAAGAAGTTATTGTTGGAGAACATCAACTGATGAATGTACGGAATGAATTTTTTGCATATCAAAAAGAAATTATATCCAAGGGGAAAGTAAACTATATTGTTGCAATTGTATTGCCAAACATAAAAGGAAAAATGATCTGACAATCATAAATAAAATGCTGTATCCCGGTTGAAGATTGAACTCTTAACACAGAAAAATCACACTCCCAAGTTGAATCTTGAGGGTAAAAAAATTATAAAATTTTTTAAAAAAATACAAAAGCTTGGATGATTCCTATCACCCATTTTTGTGTGCTGTATATTACATTTCCTCATTGCATCATTTGATGTTCTTACTTCTTTATGATACTAATAGTAACCAGGTTGTAGAGCAGCTTTTATAAGTTGTACTGCAACCGATGTAAGCACACATACATATGAAAATGCATAAACCTGTAATTTCACAAATTATATTGTATACCTATATTTTAATCATTGTTTCAGAAATTTTGTTTAGTAAAATGGCATTAAAAATATCTAAAATTAGCTTCAAGTTCGTTTGTTAAATGCATGTGAAATAAATCACAAGCATTACAATTATTAGCACACATAGACATTTTAAATAATGTTTAGTGGGTCTGCAATAAAACAATTATTACATATTGCGTATAATTACTTTTGCTTTGTATATGTCATGAATGCTAAAAAATAAAGAAGAATTGTAATAAGTTGAGCTGTGAAATGAAAATGAAAGTTTGTTTACATTGACTATTCCATTCATGAAAATAAATCGAGTAGTGTTTAACAATACACCTGGAATGCCTCAATAAAGGTAGTGTATCTTAAAAAGTTATCGCTTTTTCTATCAAATTTTTCTTCTGTGTGCTGGTCAATCATTAAATGAAATACATAATTCATAAGAGGCAGTGTGCCCTGAAAGCATGAGTTTTATTATTGTAATTAATATTTGGTGCATTCTGAAACACTTCGAAAAGAAATTTCATTTGTGGAATGGTCTTTTTAAATGCCACTAGTTATTTGGAAATTATGAGAAATTACCAATGTGGGTGTGTTAACTATGATAATCCATCTTATATCTGAAATGATTATTTTTTGTTTCTACAAAAATATTATTTCATTGTATACATTGTTATGCATTGTGTTACATTATCATTAATGAAAATGTTGAGGAATACATTTTTTTTGTACTTGTGTAAATAAGACTGAGTAGCTATCATGTAAAGGACAAAAATCTGCCAACATTTTTATTTATGCAGCTTGTGTATTGTAGCCATTCAAATAAGTACTGGTTTGCTTATGAAAATTTGATTCAGTGAAGCATGTAAATGTGTTCTGAATGTATAACTATGTTTTACAATGGAACAGAAATTCAGCACCATGTAAAGATGGTTAATGAATTGAAAATTAGCTTTTTGTTTAAACATTGACAACAAGGCATAACAGCTGTTGATACAAAACATTTCTAATTGTGTATTATGAAATTGCAAATGACATAATTTTTTTGATTGAATGAATGAATGAAATTTAAATATTTTCCTCAAATTTTGTTTTACCAGTGTTTTGGTTTTGAAAGGCCAATCAATTTATCCTCGTACTAATAATTGTGTGTATTTGTATGTGTGAGAATTTTGTTCTACCAAACATTAAATTCTGCCCTGTAAACCAAAGATATCACTGGGTTGATAGAATGTCTGGATGGCTGAGAAACCAAAGAGTATGTAGAAAACTATAAAGATGAAATAGATTACATGAAATAAGATAAGACTTCCTTTTCTTCCTAGAAAATTCATTTTTACTAAGACTAGTTACTGTCAATTGCCAAATATCGAGTTTTTTTAATGCAAAAAAAAAATTTGAAATTTTTGTTTCATTAAAATCAAATGTACTCAATTCGTGTGTTTCCTAATTTTGTTATAGAGCATTTGTAAGTCAGGAAGCAAATATTAAACATAGGTGATTCTTTGGAATATGGAAAATTGAATTAATTTCTTTATTTTCTAGTTAGAGGTAAGCAAAATTTTTATTTTCTTTGTGTAGTGTCATGGCCATCCATTACTGACTTTTAGTAAAGGATGGCTGTGGTAGTGTTGTTAGTGGTAATGCCTCAATGCAAAAAAAAAAAAAAAAGTATTTTTTCTAACAGCACACCTTCCCACTATCAGCTTTAGAACTGACAGATATGTAAAGTAGAAAATTTTGCACTCTTCGTGGTACACTTGTTCACAACATCATTGAATGAAAGTATTCTGACTGATGCCCGAGAGAATTAATATAATTTAGAAGGTGGTGTTAGAATTTGGATCATACTAAAGTGTTGAGAGTTTTTGCCAAGATCACACTTAAATTCTAACACATTCCAGATTTTTGCTCACCAAGGCTCATTCTTTGCTTGTCCATAAATTAAACAAGTATTATTTACAATCCATTGATCTGTATTAAATCATGTAGCTCTACATTCAACAACTGCTAAGTTTACATGTATGTTTTGTGTTGTGCCTTGATTTTTGTCCCGTGACAATATTATATGAAGAACCTCAACACCAATTTAGCTCTGGAAATATGAAAAAATAGATAATTAGCCTTTGCAGGTCTTTTAAAAAACAAGTCTTTTCTGCAGGATTTATTTTGCTATCACTTGTTCTTTATATTTATTATAACTTTTGCACCCTCCTCAGTATTAATTATCGTATACCTCAAAGAATAAATCCTAGATCTAAGTGCCAAAGACTACTTGAGTAGATACAAAGGTAATATCTCAGCCAGGCAAAAAAAAACAAAAACATTAGAATTATAGAACATTTTACTTATCAGAAGCAATTTTCATTAATTATTCATTGATTGCAATGAACTGTGTCAACAATGTATTTAAAATGTCATGAATGAAAGTATTTGGTGCAAAAAATGTAGGAAAAGACGGGTCATTATTGTTGAGGTCATTATAAATGCTTCCTGTATTGTTGGTGATTGCTAATAGTTTCTGCTGTGTTCATTCTTCACATTTCCTTTATTGTTGGAAATGTGCTGACACTTTCTCAATAAAACACCGAAATCTACAGAAAATCTATTTTATAATGCTTTGCTTCATTATGGCTGCTTCCCCAATTGCTAGTAATCATTGCCAATTTTTTTTTTATTATATTAATTCGTTTGATGTGATTAGGACACTTTTGTCTTAATTATAGCATAATTAAATAAGGGACAATAATTAAATAACAACAAATAGACATTAGTTTTAATTTATTTGCACATGAATTGAAGGTTTATTGTTGATAAACAATCAATACTTATTTGCATTTCAGTAAAATGGTCAATAATGCATTGTGATGGTGTAAATAATAGTTGCTGTAAAGACAAAATGATTTCTTCAAATTAATTATTATCGAAACATGTGATGGTTGTATCAGGTTAATAGCTTTCTCTTCCTTTTTTTTCTGAGAGAAAGGCGTTTGCATCATTTTTTAAAAGTCTTTCTGCACTTAGTAATTTTAATGTTCTTTCTGAAGAATGCTGAAATGTATATAAAAAAGTTATGATTGCACTAGTGTTTAGAGTTGACTAAAGTATTGCCCTTAAAAATAACAGACTTTTTTTTATTTAAGACAATTAAGAGTCTCAAAGACTTAATCAACAGTAAGGAAGTTGGTGCTTGGCTGCCCGGGAGACGTTGTGTCCTAGGCACAGGTGTCAAGGGACAGCCAAACAGCTACTGGCACCGACCGCGGAAACCTACGCTCTCATTAGGGAAGTTTCACATACTACCGTGAGGACTAATCACACATGCGTTGCGTTAACGCGCATCGTAGACACTTTTAAACACTTGTCTTATGAGGAACGGCCAAAGCGCTCACGTAAGATACAGTGTTCCCGCGCGTCAACGCAAAGCTCATGTGCAGGGGCCGTAAATGACGCCGAACAACACTAAAATTTTTGTGAACAGCTCTCCGTAGCGGCTTGCGAATGCACTTCATTCTGATCGGCGCGGTCCGTTTTGTGAGTTCTTGAGTCCGAAAAATCTGTTGATGACACAACATCTATGGTCAACACTAGTGACTAAATTGTTCAGATGATTTTCTCCAAAATTTATATTCCCCGACTGATCTTAGCGAACTCGTGGCCTTATGAGTTTGAAACGGTTATTTTGATTTTGGGGGTAGTTTACATGAGGCCTCCACTCTTCAAATTTTTCTCAAAAATTGCTCCAATTCTTTTTGAGGAAGAAAGAAAAGAATGACGGATTCTCATTTTCTCTGAAATCCAGATTTTTTCCAATTTTTTCTTTTAACTTTCTCCTCATATGTATCATAGAATGATAAAAAGGTGTCGCTTGTTCTATTTTTGTGAACACTAATTTCAAAAATTGTAAAATTACAACATTGAAGATAAAAATGTTTGTCTAAAATGAAATCTGTTCCAAAACAATTAGATCTTTAAAATTGGTCATGTACATTATTTTTTTAAAGTAATTTTCTCATAATGTCTGTTTGAAGTCAATGCAATTTATAAAAAAAATCTGATTTCATTTGGCGGTCGGATTCCCCCCCCCCTTTTTTTTCCGCTTGAGTATCGCTGAAAAAACCATAGCAAAGCCTCGCCAGATGTCGAATATTTTCAGCTCGCCAGTGCATCTGGGACGGCCGAAAATACAAAAAACATTCTAGTTGCTTTAATTCATGTAATCCACATATAATTTAGCATTAAAAAACATTTTTATTTACTCATTTCTCAAAATTTTTGTTCCTTTAAATCATTTTGTTCCTCATTTTGGTAATAAAAATATTAATAGAATTGTAATTTGAATTATTATTCGCATTAATAGAATACTTCATTTTTTTATTAGTGCATGATTTTCTTGTATTAGTGTAAAGGCAAGTCATTCTTCAGGCGAACTAGCTTCACGATAGTTGCTTATGTCGTCTTCGATAGATTCAAAATTTCATCAAAATAATCACTAGGCAATCCGAAGTATAAAATAAAAGTGGTTTTCCTACTTACGAAGTTGCAGTATCAATGTATAAATTTCTCCGTACTTTTATTTTCTAGCCTTACTACGCTTGGGTACTAAAGATAAAGTAGTGTAATACCGGGGTGAAAATGGACGATTATTCGAAAAGAAAAAACTCTCATATTGTCGGATACTGGTAACGAAATAAAGGATAAATGTTGTTCATGTATGTAAAATTACTTCCTCTAACACCTCGCGCATCCAGAGTCCACGTTGTGCTACCGAATAATCAATTGGCGGCAAAACGTCTGTCTGCCCGTACCCCCTCCGCGCTCAACGCTAGCCCCTAAAGTGTTCAGACAATTTTCTCCTAAATTGATTTTCCCTGATCGATTTGAACGAACTAGAGACAGACGGACAGATATACATTTTACCTTTAATCGATTTTTC